GACAAACAGAAGGAGGGACAAAGTCCAGTACTAAAGCAAGGGGGACATGCCACAGTGAGCAGGGCAAAAAGACTCTCCTTGCGCAGTCCCAGGGCTCGAGCACCACAGTCTGTGCAGCGCTTGGAAAAGACTGTGCAGGATTTGCTCCTCACCCAGCCTGGAGCCCAGCTGATGAGGACTGTCTGGAACAGCAGCCTCGTTAAATTCAGCCCACAATGGAGCCAGCCTTGGCCTCCTCAGGCCAGTTTGTCTGCAGCATGTTTTCAGATACCGGACCTGAACTGGGAATAATTTTCTTTGCACCAGTGTTTTATCAGATTACCCCCTCCCCGGGGGTGAAAAGCAGTGAAGGTGAGGTGAGACATCAGCCCTAGAACTGCACTGCCAGCCAACAGCCCCTGCTGTTTGTGCAGCCAGGGACAGAGGGAGGGATGATACAGCAATCCTGGAGGAGAGAGAATGCTGGGTTTTAAGGCACGGTACAGAATGAGAAGCAGAGAAGAGGACAACTGCCAAGTGAGACTTATTTTTTTTGGCAGGACTCCAGCATCTGAAGTTACAGGTCCTGAAGGTACAGGAACAGTTAAACTAAATGCTCCAACAGACTGCTTGGAAAGGGTCAACAGACAAGAGGGAAATCCTGCTGGAACTGCTCCTGCTGCCCTCCAAATTAACTTCTGCTGGGGAAGGCTCAGCTGAGCAGGGTTGGAGATGTGAAGGGGTAACCACTGAAAGGCACCAGAGAGCCTAATCAAAGTGATCTGGATCCCCTCCTTTCCACACTGAGACAGGTAAAGAGGAAAAATCCACCCCTCTGGCAGCAGGCAGTGACTGTATCTAGGTGACCTGTTTATTCTTGCAGCTGGCCAAACATTAGGAGGCAGACAGCATCTCTGTGACTATTACTCTTATCGCAGCCGGCTTTGCTACAAGTAATCAACCTCCAGAAATAAGATTTCCACCCTGTGTGTCCAATAGGTCAGATGCAATACTGAGCTCTGTTTGCCCTCAGTGCCTGCTGACAGAGCCTGGCTCCCTTTGGCACAGCAGGGAGCAGCCTCATCCATCACACTGGTACCTATCAACAGGGAGGGCGGGGGAGAAACGAAGCTGGACAGATTGCTAACATCAGCTCGGGCTTTCCAAATTAGTGTGTCACTTCGGACTTTGGCTCCTTCCACTTCTTTTTAAAGAGTGTCATTATCAGCAGCGTTACACTTCACCTCTAAAATTTACACAGACAGGAAAGTACCAGCTGACCAGTCAGCAGTTGCTGCGGTTTCCTTATGCCAGTTGATAACAAATAATGAAAATACTGCTGAGGAAAGGAGATACTTCGTGGAATGAGAGATTTTCTTCCTCCTAAGCAAGCCCTGCTGCTCAGGAAGGTGCTGGTCCTTACACTGTGCTCCTAAAGCTGTGTGTTTCCTGGTGTTGTTCTGGTGCAGGAGGATTCCCTCTACCCTCAGAAAGCACTGTGTGGCATGTCTACTGTATTCCAGGAACTCATACCTGGATGGACTCTGTGTGGATGGACAGCAGAAACACTGCAGACAGAGATCAGCACGTCAGTTCACAGCGCGAGGAGGCCGAATCAGACACCCTTAAGGATAACGTCCCTCAGGCTCAGCATATAAATTATCAGCTCTAAAGGTAAAGGTCAAGTTGTTTACTTCCAACAAACAACAGCCAAGTCAGTTGTCAGCCCTTGCAAGAGGTAAGAAGTGGGCTTTCTGTGGAGACTTTGGTATAGGTAACCTGGGCAAGCCCAAAAGCCAGATACCCAAAGAGCAAAACCAAAACCCAAACCCATGGCCACGAGGTCTTCTGTGCCACCTCAGCAAGTCACCCAGACTTTACAGCTCACTGCTCCTTCCCCTGGAGAAGAAACATAAGCTTTGAGGCCTTTCATGCCCTGCAGAGTTGAGGTAGCTGGGGTGACCTTGAGGGGTGCCAGCTTGGACACACTGGGCTCCAACCCCGCTGGGAGAAGGGACCAAGGAACACCAGCTGATGTGATCTCACTCTCCCACAGTGCTGTGACACAAGGGAGTCACATGGCCACCACCACTAAGTCTTAATGTATAACCACAATTTTTATGAAAAGCATCAAATCTAAAGTATAGCAAACCTCTTAGTTTTCAATGTGGACGTACGTTTGGTTCAGAAATACTGATGTACTACTTGGAGTAGCTTAATTCATTAAATTAAGCAAAGTCATCTAGGAGAGCAAAACATCTGCTCTGGAAGGAAAGCATCCACACAGCAGCTCTTCCCAGATAAGTGTTTGGAAACACCACAGGAACTGACAAGCCACATGAAATCACGCCAGACCAACAAGGCAGACTGCAGTGACTTGATTAAATTCAGACGTCAATTTTTTATATTAGAGGTTCAGCCACACCAACAGATATACAGCACTAGTGGAACAGATTTTCAAAAAGTCAGCTTTTTTAGGGACATCCATTTAAATCAGATACTCCTGGAGGCGATCCCTACACAAAGCCTTATTGAAAGCTCTCTTACACTTCACAGGACAAAGATCAGGTTCCAGTTTGACAGACTGGCCAAAAAGGAGCAAAGGGGAGGGGAAAGGGTGTTTAACAGGAGAATCAAGAAAAAGCTTTTGCAGACAAACATGAAGTTACAGCCCTGACTTTATTTTGCACACATTAATAAAGGTGTGTAAAGCAAACATGTGCCATCCAGAGGGACCTGGACAGGCCGGAGAGGTGGGTCTGTGTGAACCTCGTGAAGTCCAACACAGCCAAGTGCAAGGTCCTGCACCTGGGTCAGGGCAGTCCCAAGCACAAACACAGGCTGGACAGAGAAGGGATTGAGAGCAGCCCTGAGAAGGACGTGGGGGTGCTGGTGGATGAGAAGCTCAGTTTGCCCCAGCCATGTGCCCTGGGCTGATCCCACAGCGTGGGCAGCAGGGGAGGGGGGGATTCTGCCCCTCAACCCCTCAGGTGAGACCCCCCTGCAGAGCTGCCTCCACCCCTGGGGAACAACAGCACAAGGACGTGGAGCTGCTGGAGAGAGTCCAGAGGAGGCCATGGAGATGCTCCAAGGGCTGGAGCCCCTCTGCTCTGGAGCCAGGCTGGGAGAGCTGAGGGGGTTCACCTGGAGAAGGCTCCAGGGAGACCTGAGAGCCCCTTCCAGGGCCTAAAGGGGCTCCAGGAGAGCTGGAGAGGGACTGGGGACAAGGGCCTGGAGGGATAGGACAAGGGGGAATGGTTTCCCACTGCCAGAGGGCAGGGTTAGGTGGGATATGGGGAAGAAATTCTTCCCTGTGAGGGTGGGGAGGCCCTGGCACAGGTTGCCCAGAGAAGCTGTGGCTGCCCCATCCCTGGAATTGTCCAAGGCCAGGTTGGATGGGGCTTGGAGCAACCTGGGCTAGTGGAAGGTGTCCCTGCCCACGGCAGGGGTTGGAACAAGATGAGCTTTAAGTCCCTTCCAACCCAAACCATTCTATGATTCTATGATTTTTTTACATCCACTTCAGCAAAAGCAGTGCAAATTAGAGGCTCCGAAGGTGGGTTCAGAGACCACCCATGGCTACAGGAAAGCAGTTCAAGGCCAAGACTTACCAGAAGATCTTTGGTTTGTGGGTTAGAGTACTGTTTCTGCAGAACTGCAGTTGTGTTTGCTCAGGTTTAACAACAAAACCACCCCTCCTGCAGCACAAGCCTGGACTCTCAGGGAAAGACACACCCAAACACTTGGCTACTTCTCTCCAATTTCCCAGTCTAGTCCTTTGTGCTGCTCCACAGGTTTTTGGGCAGAGCAGAGGACATTCAGTAGCACCAGTTCCCTGATCCAGTTTGATATGAGATCCTTCAAGCCTCCAAGGCAACAGACCTGGCTCGAACCCCAGTCTCCCTTCAGCTTCTGCCCTTTTTGTGGCTGTAGCAGCAAAGCAACACTGGCACTTAACAAAGATGTTCAACATGGGAGACTAGGAGTTTTTCCCCTGCCCAGTACTGAGAAATGTCTCTTAGCCACCCCAAAATCATGTGCAGATCCCAGGGAAAACCCCGATTACACTTAGGGCTCCTGTGGTGGAAGTGGTGGGAAGCAGCACCATGCTGCTGCCTCTTACTCCAAGGCAGATTTTTCACTCTTGTTACAGAGAAAGCTGAACTCATGATTTATACTCAATTCAGGTTCTTATTCACTCACACCGATTGTTCACTGCTTAAATTTGGGTGCTCCTGATAGACCCACACCGCTGTTCAAATCCACTGAAGAGTCCCACCTCTCTCAGCTTCTCCTTGTATAAAGGAGGAGAAGCTCCACTCCCTTAATCATCTTCTCAGCCCTCCTCTGACAAATGGAGCCTGCTGCAAGCACTGCAGTGAGCCCCACGAGAGCTGTGGGTGCCAGAGCACACCAACATGCCATATTGAGGGGACGTGGCACACAGATGGACCAGCCAGCTGCCAAGGGAAGGTACATCATCCTCCTTCCCTTCCCCAGAAATCTGGTTTTTTCCACAGAATGATAACAGCTTCAGAAAAAAATCAACCACCGGAAAGCCCAGGAATGATTAGATCACTTGGACAGAGACTGATGGGCTGAAGAAAACCGATGCCCACTAATTCAGCAGGAATTGTACATTTGAATATTACGAGCTTTAACTGTGCAGCCCTTGGTTGAAACTTATCGGCCAAGAGACAGGTGGAATGAGACTTGTGGCAAACCTAAATCCAGCAGAAAGCCTGTGTAACAACCTCAGCATAGGGATTCCCTTAGGGACCAGCATTAAGGATGTTCAGCAGTATCTTCCAACAACCAGAGAGCTGTCGGAGACATGATGGCAAAACAAAAGCAGGAAGACAGGCTGTAAACAAAAACCACTCCTTCAAACAAAAACTAGCTGTACACAGAATCACAACCACAAACAAGTCTCCACCTCCCCCCCAGCCTGGTTAGGGCCAGGCACTGGTAATCAAATGACTTCAAGGTCAATGTGCACTCGTGCAAGGAGGCAAACATACCTGTGTTTTTAGGCCCGTCGGCGTACACCGGTCCTGGAGGTGGAGGTGCATTTTGCCATCCGTACTGGGGATATCCTTGGTAACCCGGCTGGCCTGGCTGGTAGGGCCCGGTCGGCCCGGGGGGATACCCGGGGTAGGGGCCGGGGGGGCCACCCGGCTGCTGTGCATAGGGTGGGTACGGGGCAGTCGGGCCCGGGCCGGGGTAAGGAGGAGGATTATCGTAGTTCATGTGGGATGCAGAGTCTGCCCTGCAGAGGGAAAACAAACAGGAGAACGGGTTTGCTTTTGCCTGCTCATCCGCGACCACGCGAGTGCCATTTCAGGCTGCTCTCCAGCAGGCCCTGCGTGGTGTGAGAAACAGACCTCAAAATACCTGGTCAGGCAGCACATTTATTTTTAACCCTATCACAGGGGCAGAGAGTGAGTTGAAGTGATTTCTTTAAGTGACATGAGTTTAGCTCCATGGGAGTGACGCTGCTTTCCAGTCATGCATCAGCTACTCACCCCAAGACCTAAGTCTTGCAACAGCACAGCAACATCCTCTGCTTCCACTAATGATTGCAACACTTTTAAGAGAGATTTAGAAGCAATCACTTCATGTTTCTGTCAATATTAAAGAAGAAAAGCAGCCTGTTCCAGACATATTTGATAGCCTCAACAGGAGAAAGAGTGAACACAAACGTCCATTACATTTCTGCTAATTACTAAAGCATCCAGACCAGCACTCTGGAGCAAGGCTGTATGTGAATAACTTCCTGATGACACTGCCCCAGCACATCGTGTATTCTCCCAATCACACACAACTGAGTCATTAAGCAGCCACAAGGAATCAGGGCCTCGGGCTCAGCCTCATTCAAAAAGCAACCTTAAAGACACTTCAGAGAGTTGATACTCATAAACCCCATCTCATGTATTACTCATGACACAGCCATCAAAAGACAAGACTGTCACAATAACACAACTTTAATGAACCTCTCAGCAGCGTGACTAAGCAAACCACTTCTTACATTAGGCTTCTGGAGCTTCTCCCTGTCTGAGAAGCAGAAGTGTATATTAATATACCACGTGTTCAGGAACCTTCTTGCCTGGAGCAGCTGTACCCTGCCATTTCCTTCCCCTATTACAGGGTGCAGACAGGTCACCAAAATTCCCCTTTGTTGCACACCTCCTCCCACACGCCACGGGGAGAAATACCAGGAGTATAATTTGCCTCCATTGAGACTCCAGTGCTGCTGGAATGGAGTGGGAGAGGCTTGGCCAGCAGGATCCTCTCTGGATGGGTGTTGGGAAGGCAAGCAGCAGGGTCAGGCTGACCTGACTGCTCAGCAGCGTGCTCCCACTCCAGGTTTGAGCCCAGGGAGACCATCAGCACACCCAGGCGAGCCCTGGCTGATGCAGAGTGAAGAATTTCACCTTTGTAAGGCCTCAGGAGCCCAGCGTGGCAGGAGCCAGGCAGGCCCAGCCCCTGGGGTTATGTTTAGCTGCAGCAGCCCTGGCAGTGTGGAGGGAGCTGTTTGTTTACAGCTCGCTGTTTCATCACCTCCCAGCGCCGGCTGTGCCTCCCCAAGGAAGGATCCCGAGGCTCTCCCCTGTTTATTTACACGTTGCTCCTGCAGCACCACAGGGCTCTCCCACACAGAGCCAGAAACAGCCCGACCCCAGCGGCTCCAGGGGCCACTCCAAGGGCACAGGGCTGCTGTCCCTCCCAGGAGGCTCAAAGGCTGCAATGTCACTCACCCGAGTTCATTCCAAGGCTCCTCCTGCCCTGCGATCCGGGCACAGTCACAGAATCACGGAATGTGCTGAGTTGGAAGGGACCCACCAGGATCATCCAGTCCAATTCCTGGCCCTGCCCAGGACACCCCAACAATCCCACCCTGTCCCTCAGAGTGTTGTCCAAACCCTCCTGGAGCTCTGGCAGCCTTGGGGCTGTGACGCTGCCCTGGGGAGCCTGGTCAGTGCCCCACCGCCTTCTGGGGGAAGAACTTTTTCCTGAAATCCAACCTAAACCTGCCCTGACACAGCTCCAGCCCTTCCCTGGGGTCCTGTCCCTGGTCACCACAGAGAAGAGATCAGTGCCTGCCCCTCCCCAGAAAGTTGTCCCAGCTTACTGCTAAGGCAGTGCTGTACCCTGCAGATTATATCTTTTAATGTCTCTGTCAAGACTTTTAACTGCTTAACCAATGCCAGGGATTAGAGGAATTTTATTTATGGGGTTTTTTTCCACTGCCAGGCCAGCCAGACCACTTAACTGCTCACTTAAATCAGACAAGTACAACATACATTTACCTGGAGGCTCTTTAACCACTGCTCTGCAATGCAATGCCCCTACCAAGTCTCCAGCAAGGAAATTCTCCCTTCAGGGAGCCTGGGAAGGCAGGCAGCAAGACCTTCAGTGCAACCAATACAGAACTGGGACATAATGGGTCACTAATGTTCATCTAACCCAGAAAATCATCCCAAAATAGCATTGAAAAGCAAGTTCCCAGGGAAGAACAAGGCCAGAGCGAGTGTGTATGTGTATACTCCATACCACTGCACGTGGCAGAGTAACCACTTGGTGCCCAGACATGGCTCAGGCAACCCCCTGGTTTGCTCAGCCTCCCTGAGCTGGTGCACTGCTGCTGTGCCTGCTCCTGGCATGGGGAGACCCAAGGCACTGCTTCCTGCCTTGTGGAAAACTGCCTCCTGCCCCACAGGGTGACTGCAGGAGGCAGGGATCAGCAGTCACCCTCCTGAATTTAGGGATGCACCAAACCAGGCAGGTGGCACGTGGTAATTCCCCACTTCAGAAGAGTGCAAGTTTGCACCCTAGGCACATATATATGTGTATATATATATATATATGGCATATATAAGGCATGATTTTTTTCATAAACCTTAAGAACTCCCTGGGCTCAGCTTGCTTTGATGATCACTGCCAAGCTCCAGCACATGGATTCCTTCAGTCTTCCAAAGCCCTTCTACCTAAGAGGATGGTCAGCTCAGCCCATCCTTTCCAGTGAAATTCAGTCTTCCCTTCTATCCCTTCATATGCATCAATTAATTTATCTGCACTCAATATCATTGGTATTTGGGTGCCTACAGCCATGGGGATGAGTAAAGAAAACTGCACATCAGCAGCTCTGCAGAAAGTCTCAGAAAAATGGACAGAATGAGTTAATCCAATGGCTTCAGCAACCAGGGGAATGGCAGCACAGGAAACAATAAAGAACTACTGGTGCTCTCTGTTTAACAGCTCCATGTCAAAACAGTTTCTGAAGAGGAGGCAGGTTTGGAGTGGAGGCAGTAACTGAGCTTCTGCCTGCTGATATGGGACAGGGACTGAGGGAAGAACTGTTAGCTGGCCAGGGCCTGCTAACAGCTGGACAGATGCTTGGGCAGAGACCTCAGAAAAACAACAGAACAGTGGAAAACACAAATTAAGAAGGGCATATTCCACTGGGGCAAAAACTTTCCTCCTCAAAGCTGAGGGTAAAGTAACACAAGCGAGATTAGGCAAGATGTAAAAGAAGGTGTCCAGCAAGAACACTTCCAGCAACCACTGTACTGGAGATTTGTCTGTGATGAATGAGAAAACTCCTGAAGAATTTGTCAAGGCGTTCAGCAAGCCCAGGAGGTAGTTGTGGAAATCAGGTTCTCACAAAGAATCTTTCCTTGTCCCCCACTTCCACTGTCAGTCGCTGCTACACATATACCCATCTCTACTTGCCCTGTTTGAACTGTGTGACGATATTGAGATTTTTGTCACTCTCATGAATTCATACATGACATGACATGCTTTCTAGCCTTATTTACTCATGTGGGTATGTGTTTGCAAGGCAGAGCTCTGAATCACGAAGCAGATACTTTGCAGAGACACACCTGAGCTCTTAGTCAAACGTATCACCAAAGCTTTCCTGAGGGTTCTCACCCCAGTTAGTAATTCCATGTGAACTGCAACCAGGATCAACCCCTACAAGCTTGCATCAGGGTTCATTTCTCTGCGTTTCCCAAGGAGCACCTCTCAGAGACAAAGCTCAAAAGAACGAAGCCAACCATCAGTAAAGCCCTTTGTTTTCCACGGTGCTGCAGGAGGTCCAGCAGGAAGAGCTGGGACAGTCTCACTAGTGCTGAACTCAACAGTCCCTGCACAGCCTCACTCGTGCTAAACTTCATTCAGCACTAAACCCAGCAAACAGAGATTTCCTTGACTGTCACTGAGCATTTGCACTGTCTGCTGGTGGTTAACACCAGAGAAATTGCTAAAAAGAATGGCAAACCACGTTCCTATTCCTTCCTCCCCTCCCTGCATTAGTAGTTTTCCTAAGGGGTAAGCTCATTAATATACCATTGTTTCCTTAAGCTATCTTCAAACTCCTTTGTTCCACACTGCTGAGCAAACATTATTTCCCCTAACCCAACAGAAAGGTTTCATTTTTAAACAAGCTGCTTATCACACCCCAGAGCTCACCCATAAGGTCTGCAAAACAGGAGTCACTGAAGTACAATATCTCATGTAGAGAATGCACATGGCACTATATGTGCATGTAAACACTGAGGTATCAATAGCCAAAAACCACAGTTCTGTGTGAGATTATCAGCCTTTCTACATATGTAACCTGGCTTTGGTTAAGGCTTAGCAAAAGGTGCAAGTACACAACTATAATGCATTGCATACACTATATATATATATATATATATATATATATATAATTTAACCTGTCCATTTTGGCAACCAATCCTTAGAGAAACAAATTTCATCATTAAGCTTTGAAAACACCTCCTTCTTTCTGGTTGCTTCACACTTACTGCCTCGTACAAGGCCAGCAAACCAAGGCAGCTGCTACAGAACCAGTCAGTCACTGCTCCTGACTCTCCTCTTCCAGCACACTCATGAATTTATTATCTTTTTTTCTTTTCTCCAGGCCTTTCTTCCCAGCTGAGGACACTCTGCTTCAACTCTGCTTCATTCCTTGGGCAATCTTTCCACCCATCGCTGTGCCTCTGGTGTCACTGTTTGTCTGGTTTGGAGTGAGCAGCGCTGCCTTCCACCCCTTTCCTAGCCCATTCCCACCCATCAAGCCAAAAAACAGAGAGCTCAAGCTGCCTCATACTAATTGTAACTGCAAGATCGTTCCAAGTAGGAATAGCTCCTGTAGAGCCTGTCACAACACACGCACAGCCAGGACCATCATGTGCCTCACACGTGTCGCTCATCCAAGTGACAAAAGCCTCTTCCACCATTTCACTGACTCTTCCACAAGTCTCTGAAAATCAACCTCTGAAAACCTGGGAATGTCTCATCACCCACAAGTTGCCACCTCTAAAACTAGGACAAAACAAACAGGCAGCCTAATTTAGATGGTTGTCCACCGCCACGTCATTCTGCCAGCGCAGCCCCGCAGCACAGCCTGGCCAGGAGGTAACATGGTGCAGGAAAACAAACAAGAACGAAGAAAAAACAAGGGAACGTGATGGAAGGAAAACTCTTCTGTCAGCACAAGGGGCGCCCAAACAAAGAGTCTTCACTTCCTGCCAAGACGACCCAGTTTCACCCTTTTCCCTCCTCCAACAGGCCACGTACAAGGCTGGCACTCCCAAGCATCTCTTCAGAGGTCAGAATAATTATGGCCACTATAATTATGGCAAAGTGACTGGGGACCAGTAAGAATCTGCTTCTACCTGTTGGCACTGACTTTGTAACCTTGAATAGGGAACGCAAAGAACCATCTGCATTTTACACAGTTTTACCATCTGCATTTTTTTACAGCTGCTAACCCACCTGCAAAGAAATGCCAACCCCTAGGGACAGCTAGCCTGCAAGTCAGATCCTTCAAATGCAATCTCCAGTGCAAGCAAATCCATTAAATCAAGAGCTGTGCACGCTGGAGAGATGACAGTCTAACCTGGGTAATGAAATAGGGAGAAACACCTCTTATTGCATAGGGAACAGTGCAAGAAACAGCCCTATGAAAACAAATGGGGGATTTGTAAGTTAAAAAAAAAACAAACAAGCAAATCAGCAATCTGGAACACCAGAACCAATTAGCAGATTTTTGGGATTTAAAGGCAAGAAGTTGGTTTTTTTTTTAGGACAGAAAACAAGCACCACACCTTGTGCTGCCAGAAGTCAGGAGGAGTCGTGTTTTGGGTATGGCAGATATTGATTCAGCTGGTCTTTACACAGGGGAAGATGGAGGGCATGATGAGAGGCCAGACCCTGAGAAGGACAACTGGGGCACCCTGATGTAACCCACCCCTTCCAATGCCTGCAGCGCTAGGAAGTCGTTTTCCAATACAGAGCTCTAATGGAAAGTACATTTAACATCAACAATCCAGCTCCTGGCAACCAGCCTAGCATTTAAATTACATTTCATATGAACAGTATCCAAATGAAAAAAGAGCACAAGTGGCTCTTAAATGGCACTGGCTCTGCGTTTCCCTCTTACCAGCTTATTTGCCAGGTCCATTTAGTGATTGCATGAAAGGTATGTTAAGGATAAATTGTAAGAGATTCCATTCTTGCTCAGTTCGCTTCCAGGAAAAGGTTCCTCCCTGGTTTGCCCTCCCACTTCAGCAGCAGAGTAACACTTCCCCTAGAGTAACAGCTGAAGGGGAACTGCACAAGAACTGCCCCCATCTTTTCTGACAAAAGGTGCTCAAAACTGCTTTACTTCATAAAATACAGGTGAAAAGCCTGTATGAAGAGCAGAAGTGAAGAGCCCAGCTTTGTACTGCCAAAGCAAAAGCTAAAAACCCCTCCCTTGTTCAAACCCATTGCCTTAAGAGGTGTCTGGAGCTCCAGGACACTCCTGGTTCTTGGGAAGAGGTGTGTTTCCTCACATTTGGTCGAGTGGCTGCCAGGCATCTCCCACACAAAACAACTCTGCTGCTACCAGGTCAGGCAGCTCTGTGGAGTGAACAGCGGTTTGGGTGAACAAGAATTTAACCTTCTGAGTTCCTGAGCCGGGTATTCCTTCTTCCTGGGAGCCTCCAAGCCCTCCAGAGGCCTGAAGTCTGCCTGTGTGTGCAAGTGGAGAGTGCACCTGATCTTTGAGGCTGACACTGGTGTCCCTACAGACTGTCCTGCCTCTCCAGTCCCATTGTCTGCCCTGTCTTTTTGGCAAAGCCACGATGGATATGCACATTTCCAGGTGATTTTGGTTTCAAACACCAGGATTTCATCAGCTTTAAAGGGCCTGTAGTCACAGCAGTTTTTACCTCAGAGGAATCGTCCTTTGTAGAGCTTCACAGTCACAGATCTATCCTTGCTCCTCTGTCTCCACAGAACTCTCACCAATGCACCCAGGTTTGCATACCAGGATTTTCCCTCTACAGACAAATTCCAATGTCTTGTCAACTGTCAGGAACACACAAACCTCTTCAGAAACACTATACCCGTCACTTGCTGCCCAGTTTTCTTGCTTGCAACACACTGTCCACCTACATGTTCTGCATGGCAGAAGAAAAGTATGAAGCTGACACAGTGTAGTTCCTACAATAAAAATGTTAGTAAAGAATAATAATAATAATAAAATAATAAAATATATTGCCCTGCTACTGTTATTATATGAACTGCACCCTCATGGGGAAAAATTGTCAAGTTTTTCAGACATTTGATGAAAGGTTTTAAGAACATATACTTAAACACCAGGGAGTAATAATTATAATGACAGAAAACACCACTGCACAGCCCCTTGGGTGGTGTCAGCCATGGCACTTGTTGCTGACACACCAGGTGAGACTCTACCCAGGTACAAAACACACCAAAAAGCACCTTTAAACAGAAATCACTACAGAGAGGAGCATTAACATCTTGTTTTCAGGTTTTAAATGCTTTTGCAGGCACTGCTCTTGTTCCAGTCTTTGCATAATGTGCTGCCTTAGGTAATTCCAGAAATACATGACTATAGTTTGCTCTTCAAGTGGTGCGTTGGCAGTTTTAAGGTGAAATAAATACCAAAACAAAACAGACGAAAAAAGAAATCAATGAAAACATCTGATTGTCAGGTTTAACTAGACCCGCAAATAATAGTTAAAGAAAGAAGCTTTGTTGGTCCCACTGAGAAGAGAATGTGAAACAAACAGTATGACTGGCAAGATAATTAATAAGCACAGATAATACATTCATATGTTATTCAGATGGTATTCTGGCAGCACTCCAGCCATGGAACAGAAGTGTTCTTTCAGGGTAACCTCCCCAGCTCTGATACACTGGTGGATTTAGTGGAAGATGCTCCCCAGATTTTAGGGCAGCACACACATCCCAGGGCATGGTTACTCTGGTGTGTGCATGGACAGAAATACAGGCATTTTCTACACCTGAGATCTCATTAGTCAGAAGGATTGTCGTGAGAGGCTGGAAAGTGGATTGAGAACGAGATTTTTTTTTCCTCCCTTAGGTTTTCTCACTTTTTCTGCTCTTCCACATCCTACTTGCTGCTCTAATAGGATGCTTTACTTTGCCTGTAGGGCATGTGCAAGAATCCTCTTTAATGGCTGCTTGTCACAGGGCACAAGCCAGTTCCTCCCATACCAGTTGTCACCAACCCAAGAAATCCTTTGCCTTACCCTGTCAGAGGCTGAAAAGCTTTTACACTTCAGGGCACTGCCCTCAATAGCTGGTAAGACCAAATAATACCTCAAGAATATGTTATATTCTTAGGGGGGAAATATCCCTTTCTGACACATAAGTGACAGAAACAGCAGCTTTTGTCCAGCAGTGCCTGGCATAAGGAATACAACCAGACACTTCCAAGGAGGTCCATTCCCTGAAGCTCCCTGCAGTCCTGGGCAGGCACTGGAGCACAGCAGTGGGGTGGTGGCACTTCCACGTCGTTATGTCCCAGCTGGGAAATGCTCCCCGGGATACAGGGTGAGGATAACCCGGCATTTGCCTGCCCTTCACGGGCGTGAGGGCGAGCACTTCACCCCAAAAATCTGGAGAAGGCAGCCTCCCACCTGGGGAGAGCAGCCTGGGAGGCTCCTGGCTGCCTGCGGGAAGCCGAGCTGCTGCCGGCAGGACGCCAGGCCTGGCAACACTGACCGTGTGCTTGAATGACTCCGGCTCCTTCCGATCTTTCCCTGTTCCCAGAAATGACGGTGCTATTTTCTACTCATTGAGCCACCGGGTTTGAGGTCAGAAGCAGGAAGTTGGGAAAGACGGAATACGCACCATGAGAGTAGAAAATATCAATACTGACGGCAGCACACGAACCTGCTCATTCAAGGCTTCAGCTCCCACGAGAAAGTTTTCAGGGAGCCCTGCTAAGCTTCCAGCCATGCCACAGGGAGATCACAAACAGGGGACAGGAGAAATGCAGGCCTGCTTCTTGAAAATCCAGAGTTACACAAGCTCTGCCCTCACAGAAAAAAATTAGGTAACATATTCATCTGATCATGCATAGAAATACCCCTGAGAACAGGCAGCTCCTCTGCTTCTGGCACACACAGCCCTCCAGGTACTCCCATCATCCCAGTGCAACGCTGTGAGCAGGAACATCTCTGCTTACACTCACAGAACACCTCCGTTTTTCTGAGCAGCAAACCACTGCCAATTTTAAATGTAACACGGACCTGGGCAGGGGGGACACACGGCAGCAAAACACCGGAGCTCTCTCCTCTGACTGACCCCAGGGCAGGGTCTGCTCGGCTCGTGCAGAGCCTCCACCCCTGTGGGAGCCACTCCTTTACAGGACATTCTCCTCTTCCCTTCGACCTCTGCAGCAAGGACAACCACGAGCCTCTGCAGATTATCAGTTACAGCTCTCACACCACTCAGGGAATGACAAATCAGTATTTAACAAAGATGGCCTTTATAGCACATGAATAAGAGGCAGGGTTCGTGCTACAGAAGTTTCATGGCTTGGTAAAACCACTATTCTGCGCAGTAGAAGATTATTATCTAACATCCACATTAATCCCTGACTGTCCCCAAAAAGCCCTAAAACAGGATCAATAAAATTCACTGAGCAAAAATCAGTGTTCTCAGCCTCATCAGTCTATCTGAAGCAGTAATATTATTATCATCATCACCAAAAGTTTCTACGAGGAGTCAGTTTTTATTAAAGCAACTGGTGAAAAATACCCCTTTCCTGGCACAGCAGCACTTCCCACATCTCGTATCCCAACCCCGTGTTTACCACAGCACAAAGAGAAAGCAGCTGCTCAGCAGAGACATTCTAACTCACCCACACTTACTACCTTACCCAGACTTACCCTATTTACAATCAGGTTGTTCACACACGTCTCGTAGCAAAGGTATCAAAAGCACATTTCCCCCCCTTTCAGATAAATCTAAACAAGAATCTGGGATGACTGGGACAGATCTCGGCACTACCCCGCACAGAGAGGATCTGTCCACCGCCACCAGAAGGGGTGGCAGATCCATGTGGCAAAGGAGAGGAGGCGAGTACCCCCCTTTTCCTCGTTCTCCTATTTCACCACGACACTTAATTATCCAAATGAGGTCTCCTCAGCTATAGGAACAGGAAACGTATAATCCAGGACAACCATAAAGGCTTTTCAAACACACGATGCGGCGTTATTATTATTATTATTTTTACTGCGAGTGCTCGCTCGCGTCTTGCCCCGCACTAAATAAGCCCGGTTTTAGCTCGGGCCGTGGCCATCTGCTCTAGATGCCCTTCCTTGCCCCCCCCCAGCTGCACAAACAGCCCCGCCCGGGCCCTCCCGAGCTCCCCCCGCACAGGGCAGGGCTGGCAGCCCCCAGCCCCGCCACGGCAGCTGGGAATTGTCCATAAACCGGGACAACAATCGCCTCGCTGGGGCTGCACACAGCGAGGGACCCCCGGGCCGGGGCGGGGGGAGCGCCCGAGGGGCTTCACTGGTTCCCCCCCCCTCCCTCCGCACCGACCCCTCCGCAGCGCTGTCACCCACCGCGGGCTCCCAGGGGTGCGGCGGCTCCCGCCGCTCACCCTGAACCTTCCTCCTCGCCCTCCTCATCCTCTTCTTCATCCTCCTCATCCTTCTCAGCCCCAGCGCGACCCCCGCGCCCGGACCCGCTCCCACCCAGACGCGCCAGCTCCCCCCGCACGGAGCCGAGCGGAGCCCGGCCGTGCCCAGCCGAGCCCTGCCGGTGTCCCCGTGCCGGTGTCCCCGTCCCAGACCCCCCGTCCGGCCCCGCAGGAATCCCCCAGTACCTCCGCCCTGCGCGCCCCGCACCTGCTGCGCACCCCGCGCCCCTGACGTCACGGACAGCGCTCGGGACACGCCCCCGAGGGGCGGGGCGGGCGCGTCACGGCTACGGGACACGCCCACAAAAGAGGCGTGGTCAAAAGGGGCGTGGCTCGAGGGAGCGGCCGGCGCGGCCCCGGCGACTGTCCCGCTCGTGTTCGTGCCCCTGCTCCTGTCCCTGTCCCGGCTACTGCCCCTGTTCCTCTCTCTGCCGCTGTCCATGTCCCTGACCCTGCTCCTGCCGCTGCCGCTGTCCTTGTCCCTGATCCTGTCCCTGTCCCAGCTACTGCCACTGTCCCTGCTACTGCCCCTTTCCCTGCCCCTTGTTCCTGTCCCTGCCCCTGTCCCTGTCCCAGCTACTGCCCCTCCTTCTGTCCTTGTCCCTGCCCCTGTCCTTGCCCCTAGTCCTGTCCTATCCCTGCTACTGCCACTGTCCCTGACCCTTTCCCTGCCCTTTTTCCTGGTCCTGCCCTTTTCCCTGCTTCTGCCCTTGTCCCTGTCCCTGTCCCAGCTACTTCCCTGTCCCTGCCCCTGCCCCTGCCCTGGCCCCGGCTGGGTGAGTGGGGTCCAAGGGGCCCGAATTTGAAAAGGTCCGGTCTGACCCGCAGGGTCCCGTCCCTGCCCGTGGGGAGGGGGGCCCCTGACAGTGCAGCCGAGGGGGGGCTGAGCAGGGGGTTAAACGAAGGACAGAGGGGTCAGGGTGGGCACGGGGCGTCTCAGGGTGCAGCTGCAGCCCCACCAAGGCCTCACTGCCTGCTCTGGGCCAGGGATGAGAGCTGTGGGACCCAGAGAGTCTCAGCCCCACCAGGGACCCCCAGAGCCCCACTGCCCCCCACACCCTTCTGCTCCCACTCCCCTTCCCTGTGGGGACTGGACGGGGCACCAGGCTGGGGACCAGGACCATTGCAGGGGGCCTGTCCCCTTCTGCTGATAACGGGACACGTGCACAGGAAAGATAGGAGCACAGTGCCTGGGACAGCCCAGATAAAACAGGTCAAGGACGCGGGTCGGACGTTCAGTCACCATCCCTGCCCCTGGCACATGACCGGGACTCACGGTGCTGGGCAGCGGTGAGGGGACAGCCGTGGGGACGAGGTGGGGCTGTGGTGGGGTGGCTGGGGACAGCGGTGGTCCCCGGGGAGTGGAGCAGCATGGCCCTGCCCCCCTGCTGCCCTGCGTGCTGAAACCAGCTTCCCTTTCCCCGCATCGATTAGTCGATCTAATCAGGCCAGTTTAATGCTGGGTCCCTAATGAGGCTCAACCAGGAAGAAATTATTTAAATTAGTTACATGACATGCTGTGTTCTTGGGCAAGAGAAAAACAGGATCTATTCTACTCTCTCTGAAGAACCTGAAGTGTATCCCAAATGAAACCTTCTGGTGATGAGAGGTGTGGGAGACATTAGAGAGCCCTTTCCGGTTCTCTGGATGCAGAGAGTGAATCACCAGGTATTGTTCCACAGCCTCATCTGCCCCAGCCATGCTGCCCTCCTCACACAGAATCACGGGCTCATGTAGGTTGGAAAAGCTCTCTAAGATCATCAAGCCCAGCACTGCCAAGGCCACTGCTAAACCATGTCCCCAGCTGCCACATCTACATGGCTTTTAAATCCCTCCAGGGATGGTGACCCCACCACTGCCCTGGGCAGCTGTGCCAGTGCCTGACCACCCATTCTGGTGAAGAAATTTTTCCTAATATTCAACCTAAACCTGCCCTGGTGCAACTTGAGACTGTTTCCTCTTGTCCTGTCTCTTGTTCCCTGGGAGCAGAGCTTGACCCCACCTGGCTCCACCCTCCTGTCAGGGAGGTTCAGAAAGCCAGAAGGTCCCCCCTGAGCCTCCTTTTCTCCAGGCTGAGCCCCCCCAGCTCCCTCAGCTGCTTCTCATCTGACCCTTCCCCCGCTCCATTGCCCCTCTCTGGACATGCTCCAGCACCCCAACATCTGGCAGAGACTCCCATGAGGCAGTTTGCTCCACAAAATGGGAAAAAACTAACAAAACCAAACCAAATAAAATCCTCTGGATCACTTTGTGCCACATCAGCAAGCCCAAGTGACAAAGGCAGTGATGAAGGGTGTGAGGAAAGGGCACTTCACAGGTGGGCACGAGCAGGGGCTGCTGCTCCACTGCCCTGGAGATGCAGACAATTCCCTCCCACACAGCTTTCCTTGCCCTAGGATGTTATTTACATATGCCTTTGCAAGTGCTACTGCCCAGCCAGGACCTCAAAGCAGACACAATATACATTGTTCTGCTGATCTACATCGAACTCGTCCTGGTCCTTGACTCCGTGGTCGTCCTGTTAAACATTAACTGAGAAAACAGCTTCAGAAACATTGCTTGGCCTCGTTAAAATCTTCAAATGACATTTGATACTTACATATCCTTATTACCAGTTTGCATATTAATGCAGTACAGGCTTTATTGCTTTTGCTACCCCTCCAGCAGAAAGTATATATTAATTTTTGGTTGCGGCTGTCTTTTCCCTGGAAAGGAGGCTGGGATGGAATGCTATCCAGCAAATTGGGACTTAGCTCCCACTAAAAGAAGACAAGCCATCTCTCCCCTGAAAAGAGGAGAGACAGGATGTGGAGCAAGGACACATGGAGGGAACGTTCACCCAGTTCCCATCAGGTGTGTGAGCACATCCCCAGGAACCAGCTCCCCAGGAGAGGCGTGGGAGCATCCTGGAGATTAAACTACTGGGTTCACATGAGCTCCCACAGAGGCTTCGCTGCCATGTGTGGGGTGGCCAGCTCTGAGCTGCAGCTGAGGGCAGGGAACTCCTGAGATGTGGAGTGGGGTTGTTCGAACACGCTGTCCGAGATGCTGGAGGACAGACCAGCTTTTGCACCTGTGAAACTTGTCCCCTTCGCAATTTTACTGGTGATTTTTGCCCTTCCTTTCTCCTGTTCCCTGGCATGACCTACTGCTATTAGCAGATGTGGGAAGGGAGGTGTGAATCCTGTCTACTGGGAAGCCTGGGCTGCCTGGAAACTCTGGTTTAGCAATATTTATCTCCCCCCAGCCCTCCCCACTGCAGCCAAACTCGGCAGCTCCACAATAAAAGCTTTTGTCTTTGGTGTTTACTTTTTACGATTGCCTGAACACCACCAGCCACAGGAAGGAGTTGACCTTGCAGAGGACAAATGCAGGAGCTGGACCTACACAGGCTGTGGAGAGCAGGTGAATGGTGAGACAGGGAACAGCAGAGTGCAAGGCTGTTGCCCAGAGGACTCGCTGTGGCCGCTTGCCCCCATTCCTGCTGGTTTCACACCTCTTTCCACACGGTAATTTGGTTAAGCCCGTTGCAAAAGCCTTGTGAAACACCCCACTGTCTTGCAAGAGGGTTCTGTGGGACTGTGGGTTGCAGGCAGGGCCAGGCAAGGCAGCTTTGCTGGGGATTGTTTTTGGTGGAGGTGTCTCCAGGGCAGAAGGGATCAGGGAGGAGATGTCCTTGTCCCTGTCTCTGTGACAGACCCAGCGGAAAAGATCCTGCTCCACCCCCACACTCCCACTAACCTGCACCTTCCTGCCTACTACATGCCAGTGCCTCCACAGAAACACTGTTTAGGCCCCTGTGGGCAAATCCAGGATTGATATAACACCTCAAGAGGAAAGTGCCACCTGGGAGGATAAAGTCCGTGGATCTGCACCCTGCGTGCTGAAATCCCAAGCCCTGCCTGGGACAAAGGTCTTTCTTACCCATCACCTGTACTATCAGGAAATTTTTCTGACCTGCTTCATACAAGTTAGCAGTTTAAAGGTCACAATCCATACTTTCTGTCGGGGACACGGATGGCTCTGGAAGCAGGCGTTGGTCTGCCCTGCCAGGAGCTGTGCCCAGGTGTCTGATCTGAATCAAATGAAAGCTGCTGGATCTGGAGTGGATGGGGCTGGTACTCCTGATGGCAAACCATGGTCTGTGAGCAGGGAAGCAGCAGCAGCCCACATGTGAAGTGGGTCACTGCTGGTCCAGCCTGAATCACAGCCTCCAGGCATGATGCTGTTGAACAGATCCAATGTCCCTTCCCATCCTGCAGCCTCATCTGGGTGAACCTAAGCCCTGCACTCTGAAAACTGGCTCTGTGAGAGTGCTGGTTGTCCACCCCTCCTTACTCAGGATGGGTTCTGGTGAGCCTCCTGCTGACTTATGAAACTCTCCAACTGCTCCTTGTCTCAGCTGTCCTGCCTGGTGGCGAAATAGTGTTAGTGGCAGCATTACCCTCCCTGCCTTCTCCTCTTCACAGGGCTGGGAGCAGTGCAGAAAGCTGTCACAGTGCTCACTGTGCCCTGACCTCGTGCAGGACAGTCCTGAAGCTGATCTGCTCTTCTACTTGCAGGTCCCAGGGCTCTGCCTCCTTCCCAAGCTGCTGCCTGGTGCTGGGTGTCTCTGCAGACTTG